CCCAAACTTTTAATCTCATTTTTAACTTTTTATTTGTTTTATTTTTATTATTATTTATTTCATTTTTTATCTATTTTTATCTTATTCTGTGTGTGTACATGTATAGAGATTAGGGTAAAACATTGGGTGTTGGACCTCACCTTTCACCTTGAGACACAGGGTCTCTTGTTGTTCAAACTTCTTGTCTCTGTCTCCCATCGCTGTAGGAGCAATTGAATTATAGGTGCATGGGGATCTGAACTCAGTTTATTCACTTAGACTTTGTCCCAGACTGAGAAATACAATTTATTGGGTATTTCTTATGTGGCAGACACTGTATATAAAATATTTCTGGTTACCATAAGAATAACTCTCATATTACAAAGTGCTTCACATTGGTTTTTTTTATTAAATACTTATAAAGACTAAACATTCCATAGTTTTACATAAGAACTGTGACGTCTGCTTAAGAACATGAAATGAACCAGGCAGCAGTGGCGCACGCCTTTAATTCTAGCACTCGGGAGGCAGGTGGATCTCTGTGAGTTCTAGGCCAGCCTGGTCTACAAGAGCTAGTTCCAGACAGGCTCCAAAGCTACAGAGAAACCTTGTCTCGAAAAAAAAAAAATCAACCAACAAACAAACAATTAAAAAAATGTGAAATGACTTATCCCAAGTATGCCATAAAGCAAGGCTGCAGAGCCCTGTTTAACTGGTCTGCCCTGTCTGTAGCCTTCTGAATTTTGATGAGTCTCAGATGTTAGTGGTGAGGCTGAGGAAGAAGTTCAGTGACAAAGCCTTTAGCTAATATGTGCAAGGTCCTTGTATGATCATCTTCATCATCATGATCATCATCATTATTGGAGACATGGTCTCTGTGTAATTCTGGCTGGCCTGGAACTGGCTTTTTGTAGATCAGGATGACCTTGAACTCACAGAGATCCTCCTGCCTCCGTCTCCCAAGTACTGGGATTAAAGGTGTATACCACCACTACCCAACTTGTATTTTCTCTGTGTGTGTGTATCTATGTATATGTGTTTTTTATATGTATATATGAAGAGGTAACGGCAGTTTTATTTAGACGGGGTCTTACTATGTCACCCTGTGTTGGACCCTAGAGTCCAATCACTGGGAAGAGTCGTCCCAAGAGACCATCTCTCACACCACAGCTGATGTAAAAACATGAGGATTTTATTAATTCTGTCATGACAGGATCTTTCAGCATTAGAGAGGCCAGAAAGGCCCTGGTACAAGCTACTTTTAAAGGAAAAAGCCACAGAAGCAAGGGGGGTGACTGGGAGTTGTTCTTTGACTATTATGATTGGCTTATTCAAAAGGGCTATTACCAATAATTGGCTGGAGAGTGGTTGCTAGGTAAGAAGAAACATCTGAGGGTCACTTTGACCCCTTTCCCAGGGGCTGAGTCAAATCAAGTCTCCGGGAGGCCTCCCACCTGGCATCAGGAACTGAGTCAACATCTTAAAGGTTATCTTGCCCCAATTTCTGGAGAACATTCACAATGACTAAGGGAAATGGAAAGTTCCCAACATTTCAGTACGTGTGTGGGTAATTGTTAGATTCCTAGTTCCCAGGGGAATGGGGGCACTACTGCTGAGAGGCCTGAGTTGTCAGAAATGGCTTTAGAGTTATTTTAGAATTCTACATTACACCTGGCTGGTTTGGAACTCATTTTGTAGTCCTGGCTGGCCTTGAACTCACAAATCTGCCTGCTTCTGTCTGAGTACTGAGGTTAAAGGCGTGTCCAGTTCAGTATAATGATTTATAACATATATGATGGTTATTTTCTCTTTGTGTGTCTGTATACATATGGTTTTTCAAGTCAGGGTCTCTCTGTGTAACAGCACTTGATGTCCTGGAACTCACTTTTGTAGACCATGCTGGCCTCAAACTCAGAGATCTGCCTGCTTCTACCTCCTTAGTGCTAGGATTAAAGTTGTGCACTACTACGCCCAGGTGTGATTTTTTGTTTGTTTGTTTGTTTTGTTCTTTGTTTTTCAAGACAGGATTTCTCTGTAGTTTTGGAGCCTGTCCTGGAACTAGCTCTTGTAGACCAGGCTGGCCTCGAACTCACAGCTGTCCCTCTGTCTCTGCCTCCCCTCCCGAGTGCTAGGATTAAAGGCGTGTACCACTACAGCCTGATGTGTGTGTGTGTGTGTGTGTGTTTTGGTGTGTGAAATAATAAGGCAATAATGTGTCATTTTAGCATCTTTTGCATTATAGGATGATTTTGGATACAAGCTGGAAGAATTCACTGTCAAGGTTTTTTTTCTCTAGCTTATGTTCAGGACTTCATGAGACAGGTCCTTTAGGAGACAGGCTCTTTCCTAAAGCAGATTAAGAAACTTTTACAAGTCTCCCTGTTTTTCCTTAATGTCTCCTCTGCACCGTTCAGTGATTAGGTGGTGTTGGACTCTAGTGTCCAACCTGAGAAGGAGTCGCCCCCAGAGACCACCTCATACACCACAGCCGATGCAAAAGCATGAGGATTTTATTAATTCTGTCATGACAGGGTCCCTCAGCATTCGGGAAGCCGAGGGACCCCCGACTAGCTGGTACAGTCTACTTTTAAAGGAGAAGGCCCCATAGAAACAAGAGGGGTTGTTCCTTGACCATTATGATTGGCTTGTTCGAAAAGGGCTAATACCAATAATTGACTGGAGAACTATTGTCAGATCAGATGAGGTAAGAGGTCATTTTGACCCCATTTCCCAGGGGACTGAGTCAAAACATACGTGTATGGGTAATTGTTCAGGAACTGAGTACGTGCATGTGTAGCTGTTAGGTCCTTGGTTCCCAGGGGAGGAGGGGAAGCACTGAGGCACAGAGGCTGAGAGGGTTCAGACTTGTCAGAAATGGCTTCAGAATTGTCTAAAATCTTACAGTGGCTCATGGCATTAGCACTTCCCCGTACATCTAAAGCTCCAGTTCAGTATGCTGCATCATTGCTGGTTCAGGTCTTTTGATAGGAAGTGCTTTCTGATAAGGATTCATAAGAATTCTTTTGAACAAGGTGGGGTGTGATGCAATTGAGAACATAGGCTGAACCTCCATTCCCTTGACCTCTGCTGCTGTTTCAGAGTTTATACTGACTTGAAGACATTCTCTGCAGAGCCAAGAGTTCAGCATTTCTTTACAATTGATGCAAAGATAGTTACATTCAAAGTCAATTGTTAGTTATTCAGTTGTCATGGAGATCTGTCATTATTTGGTGGTATAGGGAATGCTAAAACACTTAAGTCTGGAAATTTAAAATAGATGACTAAGAAAGAATGTAAAAAAATATCTGAGGTTAGATTGTAGCAATTATTTTTCTATGGGAGCAGTCTTGTGACAGTTTGAAATTGGTGTGTGTGTGTGAGAGAGACAGACAGAGACAGAGAGATGAATGGGGTGGGCTACACCTGCCAAAGCAAGTGTGTGAAGGTCAGAGGACAACCCTGAGGAGTTGATTCTTTCCTTCTGGCTTTTTTTTTTTAAAAGATTTATTTGTTTATGATATATACAATATTCTGCTTGCATGTATCCCCGTGGGCCAGAAGAGGGCACCAGATCTCACTACAGATGGTTTTGAGCCACCATGTGGTTGCTGGGAATTGAACTCAGGACCTCTGGAAGAGCAGGCAATGCTCTTAACCTCTGAGCCATCTTTCCAGCGCCCTCCTTCTGGCTTTAGGTGGGTTCCAGGAATCATTCTCATGTCATCAGCCCTGTGTGTCATGTGCTGTTACCCACTGGGCCATGTCTCTGGCCCTCATATTTGAAAAGAAAAAAGCTGAAAATAGTTGTTTGAATTCAATACCTTGGTATCAGAATACACGAGAATTTTTCTCCTGTTTTGGTCTTTCACTTTAGGAATTTTCCCTTTGAGGATCTCGCTGGTCTCTAACTCAAAGTGATCTGCCTTCTAGGTGCTAGGTTTAAAGGATTGCACTCCCACCTGCCTCATAATTTTAACTTTTTAAAGTAAGAGTCTTGCATGGTTAAGAAAAATGGATATATTTTAAAGGGAATTTAGCTTACTTTTCAGCTGACAAGTTTTCGAAACTATTCTGCCAAATCAAGCCTTACCTCCAGGTTTCGACTTAGAGCATAGGTTTTATATTCAGATTATATGCATTCATTCATACTCCTTTCCCCCAGGTGTGGTTTTTTTCTTTCTTTCTTTCTTTCTTTTTTTTTTTTTTTTTGGAGAAAGGGTCTTATGTAGTTTGGAATGGTCTGGATATCCTATGTTGTCAAGATTTGCCTAACTCAAGATTTTATTGCTTTAGCCTCCTAAGTGCTAGAATTACATGTGTCAGTCACTGTGCCAGACCAGAATTCTCTTATCTTGAAATTGCTCTGTAGAAGGGAAACTCTAAAAGCCTAGAATAGGTCAGTGAGATGGCTCAGCCCCATAAAGTGAGGCTTGAGTTAATACTTGCAAGAATCAATTGAGGCTGGCCTTTGCAGTGCACACCTTTAATCCTAACAGATGCTGATGGTCTCTGTGATTTCAAGGCCAGCCTGGTCTATTTAGTTAGTGCCAGGCCAGCGTGAGCTATACAGTAAGATGTTGTCTCTTAAAAGAAATAATAAACGAAGTGTTGAGTAGCTTCTTAGGATGCATGGTGCAGTAGAAAACAAATGAACTATATCCCAGAACTTGGAAGATAGAGGCATGAGAATCAGTAGTTCAAGATCGTCTTGGGATGCACAGTAAATTCCAACCTGAAATACAGGAGACCCTTTATCGAAAAGAAAAGAAAAAACATAGATGACAGTTTGCATGATGATCTTTGCTACTTCTTGTGAAGCCTGGTTTCTTCATAAAACTGTAACAGCCCCTACTAGGTGCCATTGTAAACAAGACTGAAATATGCGAGTTAAATTCCTTACTTCTTTGTTAATATTTACTGAGCATTTAGTGTATTATATCATTAATTAAAAGTATTATCTTGTTTAATTTTCCTGCAGCTCTGTGTAGTTATTCTCAACACTAATTCTTTCTATTTTGCAGATGGGGAGACTGACAGTTTAACTCTTGGCCAAGGTCACACACCTGGTAAGTGGTGGAGCTGCTCTATGTGATCCCAAGCCCTTGTTCTTTGTACCTTTTTAAAATTGTTACATGAATTTTCATACAAAGAAATGCTTCTATCTGCAATGTAAATCGAAGCAGTTTTCGCCACTGTAGTTCCACTTCAAAGTTCCCTATGCTTTTTCCCCTTTGATTCGTTAGTCTATCCCTAAAACTTAATAACTTCTTACTTCTTGTCCTAAAATCTCACAAGCATAACTTTACACATTTGTTCTTTGTGCATTTTCAGCCCAATATTTCATAGTAATCCATGATGCAAGTGTTAATCGTTCTTTTTTTCCCCCTGAGGGGTATTGTACTGACAGTGTCATCTGGTCCGGGCTGGTCCTAGTTTAGTGCAGATAAAACAGCTATAAGATTTCTTACACCAGGACTGGAGAGATGACTTAGAGGTTAAGAGCACTGCCTGCTCTTCCAAAGGCTCTGCGTTCAATTGCCAGCAACCACATGGTGGCTCACAGCCATCTGTAATGAGATCTGGTGCCCTCTTCTGGCCTACAGACATGCATGCAGGCAAAATACTATATACACAAAAAATAAATAAAAAATTTCTTACACAAAATTTTGTATACATTTTGTATATTGATCCTCTAAAGCATAGTAAAAATTGTTGGTTTATATGGTAGGTAGATACACATTAAAATTTTTATAGAGTAGCCAGTTTTCCAAAATGTTTTTATGTTTTATAGTTTAAATAGCATGTGAATTTCTATTTCATATGTTTTCAAGTAATTGATATTGTCAGGGTTTTAATTTTTGTAACTCTAGTGAGCATTGTGATGGGAAGGTATGTTTTTAGCCAACATTTCCCCAATGGCCAGTTATATTGGCTACTGTATTATATACCTACTGGCTATTCATATGTCATCTCTTTAAATGGTTCAAAGTCTTGAACATTAGAAGCATTAAGTTCTTTTTTTTACTTTTTGCATTGTTGGCATTTTTATATTCTGAATGTCATATGGTATATGTGATATTCATATTTTCTCCTGGCCTGTGGTTTTCCTTTTCATTTTAAACATATTTTATGATGAATATCTTTTTTAAAAAATTAACTGTTGCCATGTGGGTGCTGGGAACTGAACCCAGATCCTCTGGAAGAGCAGCCAGTGCTCTTAGCCAATGAGCCATCTCTCCAGCCTTCACTAAAAATTCTTAGTATAACCAAATTCCATTTTCTTTTAGAAACTATGAATTTTTTTTTTTTCAAGACAGGGTTTCTCTATAGCTTTAAAGCCTGTCCTAGAACTAGCTCTTGTAGACTAGGCTGGCCTCGAACTCATAGCGATCCACCTGCCTCTACCTCTCGAATGCTGGGATTAAAGGAGTGCGCCACCATTGCCCGCCAAAACTTAAACATTTTATTTTATCTTTTGGTTTTTTGAGACAGGGTTTTTCTGAAGCTTTTGGAGCCTGTCCTGAACCAGCTCTTGTAGATCTCGAAATCCCAGAGATCCGCCTGCCTCTGCCTCCTGGGTGCTGCAGTTAAAGGTGTGTGCCACTACCACCCAGCGATGATTTTTTTTTTTTTAAGGGCTACATTCATGCCCACAATTTTGCCATGTTTTATAAAGTAGGAATCAAAGACTTTTTCATATGAAAGTTTGTTTCTTCGTGTTATTTGTTAAAGTTTTTTTCTCAATATTTTTATGGTTTTCTTTAATAAATTGTGTGAATCTGTGGATTCTTTTGGTTTTTCGAGACAGGGTTTTTCTGTGTAACAGCCCTGGCCGTCCTGAAACTCGCTTTATAGACTAGGCTGGCCTCAAACTCACAGAGATCTGCCTGCCTCTTGTCTTCTCAAGTGCTGGGTTTAAAGGCGAATCTGTGGATTTTTGTATTCTCTTTCATTAATCCTTTTGAATCTTTTAATCAAAGCCATGGTGTCCTCAATTTTATGGCTTTATGATAAATAAGGAGTATTGATAAGCTGCCTCTATTCTTCATTTCCAAAGTTATTTTGGCTTAATTGTTTTTCTTTCAAAAGACTATTCCATATGAAGTTTAGAGTCAATTTATTTGAAAAGAAAACTAAAAAATTTGCTGAGTTTTTACAATTGATTTGCACTGAGTCCATCAAAAGAATTGTCTTTTTTTTTTTTTTTTCCATTGCTAGGTAAACTCAGAAGCTTTGCCTGTGAGGCACAGTGCTTTATCACTGTGTTCTGTCCCTCGCTCAAACTGTCACCTTAACAGTAGCAGGGCTTCTAATCCTTGCATTTAGTTTGTCTTTTTTCTAAATGCAGTATCTTTACTTTTTCTCATTAATGTTTTAAATGGATTAATGTTGACATCTTGTTTTACTTTTAAATTATTTCCATTTTGCATTTTAATGCTATTATGACTCAGACTGGTTTTAAAGTTTATTTGCCAAATTGTTGCAATTCAATTGATTTTTGTGTATTGAGTTTGTATTGAATTTGTTTACTAGTTCTGGTAGTCACCTAAAACAATAAATCTGTTGGGACTTTTGTGTGCACAACTATGAATAAAGACAGCCATATGTTTTCCTTTTTGATGTTTATGGTGTTTGATTTCCAGCATAATAGTAGGTAGAAGCGATGGCAATGGTATTCTTGTCTCATTCTTAGTCTTAGGTGGAAGGATTTCAATTTCCATGATCAAATACAATGTTAATTTTTAAACCTTTTTCTTTTTTCTTTCTTTTCTTCTTTTTGTTTTTTCTGAGACAGGGTTTCTCTTACTCTATAGCTTTTGGAGCCTGTCCTGGAACTCTTTGTAGACCAGGCTGGCCTCAAACTCACAGAGCTCTGCTTGCCTCTGCCTCCCAACTGCTGCGTGCAGCACCACTACCCAGCCAGACTTTTTTCTTACAGTTTTCATTTTAAATATATTTTTTGATTATGTGCATGCAGATGTGTGTAATTATACCAAGTTTTTTTGTATAGCTCCTGGTAGCCTATAGTACACCATGTAGCTCAGCTCAGCCTGGCCTCGAGCTCATAGATTGTACTGCTTCTGCCTCTTTAGTTCTGGAATTACAGGCACCTAATACCATGTCTGACTCTCCTTTGCGTGTGTGTATACATATGCACGTGTGAATGTGTGTGTGTGTGTGCTGTGATTAAAGGCGTGCACCACCACCACCTGGCCAGTTCTTTACCCTTACAGATTAGTGGAATCATAGTGTTTGTCTTTTTGTTTCTAACATTTCACTTAGCATAATGCTCTCCAGATTTATCTGTAGCAGTCTTTCTTTTAGGCCATCAACTAGCTCCCAAATCATGACACAGAGACTTAATAGTTTATGAATGCTCAGCCTTATCTTAGCTATTATTTTCATCTGTTTCTCTTTATCTACATTTTGCCTTGGGGATTTTTTTTATAAGAATGTTTTCTTTTTATTTTATTTATTACATATACAATATTCTGTCTGTGTGTATGCCTGGAGGCCAGAAGAGGGCACCAGACCTGTGAGCCACCATGTGGTTGCTGGGAATTGAACTCAGGACCTTTAGAAGACCAGGCAATGCTCTTAATCCCTGAGCCATCTATCTCTCCAGGTAGCCTTGGGGATTTTTACCTTTTTCTTTCTCTATGTCTTACTTTCCTGCTTATTGTGTCTCTCTGACTGGCGACTGGCTGGCAGTTGGCTGGTTTTTGGTTCCAGGCCTGTCCTTGTCTTTCTCCCTCTTTTTTTCTCCTTCCTTTCTCCCTCCCTCATCCTTCCTCTTTCTCTCTCCTGGATTTCCCTTCCTTTTTAATTCTCTTTGACTGCCAAATCTGCCCATCCTTTCTCTGCCTAGCTATTGGCTGTTCAACTCTTTATTAGACCAATCATGTGCCTTAGACAGTCAAGGCAAAACAAATGCAACCCATCTTTACATAATTAAGCAAACATAGCATAAACAAATGTAACACACCTTTACACAGTTAAAGTAATATTCTGCAGCTTACACAAATCTAACATCTTTACATAGTTAAAATAATATTCTACAACATTTATCCATATTGCTGTATGATATATTTGAATTCATTTATTCTTTTAAGGTTGGATAACGTCACTTTGTATGTATATATCATATTTTATTATTTACCAGTTAGTAGATATTTGGTTTTGTTCAGCTTTTGATCTATTGTGAATTGTCTTGTTATGGACATAGGTGTACAAAAGTATATTTCTGAGTTCCTATTTTAAATTCTTTTGGATCGATAACCAGAAGTGGGATTGCTGAACCATGTGATAATTATCTTTTCTATTTTTGAGTAACTGCTGTTTTGTTTCTTTTTTAATTTTATGTAACTTTTTTTTGAGATTATATTTCCCTTTCCTTCCTCTGAATCCTCTCATCTACCACCTCCCACTGTCTTTCAAATTTATGGTCTTTTTTTCATTGTTATTATGTATACATGTTTGTATATATGCTGTATTGTTTTCAATACCAGAATCACCATTTTACGTTTTTACTAACATGTATAAGAATTCTAAGCTGGGTAGTGGTGGCAGAGGCAGGAGGATCTCTGTGAGTTCAAGACCAGACTGGTTTACAGAGTGAGTTCCAGGACAGGCATCAAAGCTACACTGAGCAACCCTGTCTTGAAAAACCAAAAAACTACAAAAACCCCATAATGTACCTAGTTTATTTTCTAGACTTCTCATAAATCTTAATAATTCCAATGTGGTTCAGAAGTCCAAATTCCTTCTTAGAGATTTAGGCAAACTCTTGAATAAGAGCAAACTGCACTTTCCCAAGGTCACAGGTTCACATTTCCACCCAAAAGAGAGTAGTAGGGGCAGAGAAAGAAGAGATAAAATAAAGTAAGTGGAAAGCCTGTCAAGACAAATGTTTAAACCCTGTTTCTCTTTATAGGGGGACTTGGGTTGTAATATGATATAAACTCAAAGGCATTTGCACAGTCCCACCCTAGTCTTTCAGGTTTCAGCAAACACAACCTCTTTTTGGGACTGGCTCTGCTTGTTGCGTGCAGTTTTTTGGTTTTTT